TAGAGAGAGAGAGAGAGAGAGAGAGAGAGAGAGAGAGAGAGAGAAAGGAGTAAAACGTTGACCCGTTTTCAGCGCAATCATTCCCAACGCCGATGGAAGAACCGAAGAAGGTGTTGCGAGCACAATATCTCGGATCCATGCAGGTTTCTCAAGCGACTGGAATGGAGGTTCTCAATGACGCGATAGATCACATCGTGGCCAACACGCCTATCAATCAATGGCGAAACGTGAACGTCGCCGTCGCGCCCAGTATGATTTCCATCCTTACACCGAACGTGAGTGGATCGATGAGCGTGATATCGATTTTATTCGACGGGAAATAGAGAAATAACGTGCCTTTTAGGAGGAGAAACTTATCACCGAGTGTCGAGTGCGTTACCTGTCGTTCCTCGGAATTGGTCGTAACGTGAAACAATGCGCCTTCATAATGCACACCGCGCAAGATCTTTTCATCGCACACGTTTTCAACTGCGAGCCTAGCAGCGGAGCTCTTTGCAAAACTATCGAAGCTGCCTGCAAGGTGATCGATCGTTACATTTTTTCCAACAATATTGTCCATTCCTTGTAGTTTACTTCGATTAAGTTTCATATACGTAATATATGCGCACAGCTGAGGTACCAGAAATGCTTGGACGCACATCCTCAAGGGTTCAGAAACGCTAGCAGCCTCAACACCCCGAGCGGAAAAGGTCTTGGCGCCACCTTGAAATCTTTGGTCGGCTCTCTGACTGGGCGTAGAAATAAGCAGGGTGAGTCCTGAGACGAGGCTCTCTCGCTGCAGGTAAATGAACATCCATTATCGTTGAAATATTATGACGTAAAATAAAAAAAAAGAAAAAAAAAGAAGCAAAACGACCAAATACATTCTTTCACGTACGATGAACGATACGATCGCCAATCATAGAACACTGTGTTGTAGTTGATTCCTTCGCTCGTTCCTTCGCAGGAACTGTGGCCGCTGCCTGCTGAGCGAGAAGTGATCAGACACAAGCATCTACAATCACCTCTGACCTTGAAATACTTCAGCGGATCGCCACCTAGTGCATCTCTCAGGTCGCTCCTTTCGCCCTCTCTGGACAACAGGCGTATTCAACTTGCCGTTGGGAGAGCAATCCTTAAGTGGAACGTAGCCGCAGGTCGAGCCAACTTTCGAACAAGAAGAAAGAAGAAGAAGATG